AGATTTTGTAGTCTGTATAGATGAATTAATTTCACCTAAGGATAGGTAGTGAGTCTTCAGGTAGAAGTCTATAGCCAGATAGAAGTTTTTTCTGATGATGTTATTCAGAAGAACAATAAAAGCTCTACAGCCAAACTATCCAGCTCAGAAAACAAAACCCTATCAAAACCATCCACCTGAGCTACAAATCTTTTCCACCATCTCATAACTAACTATTCATCAATATTACTTATTTAATTAATTACGTGTACCTGTTATATTCCGTGGAGGAGCATAGGCTGGCCATCAACATTCACGATCAAACTCTGTCCTGGACAAAACATTTTAATTGTTTCCATTCGCCATTCATCCTGTTTATGTCTACTTCCAATTCTCGGCACAGTGTTTTGTTTGGGCTTCCTCTTTTTTCATTTTCATTCAAGATTCCAAGTTAGCACTCATCAATATGAATCATATCTATTCATTATCAGTCATAAAAAATATTTTGATAAGAGATTCTACACATTAAAGGTAGAAGATATTCGTAATTTACTAGTGTGTGAACACAGATTTCTTAGAAATAATGCTCGTATCTGCTGGGATCACCGCTTAAATAATAGTGAGGTTAGACACAGGGTATTAGGGAGTGATGTTGGTAAATCAGTTGATGAAGTTGTAAATCTTCATCGGTTGAGATGGTTGGGCCATGTATTACGCATGCTCAACCACCGATTACCACGACGCTCAATGATAAACAGTGCTGGAGATGGATGGAAGAAAGTTAGAGGTGGACAAACAATAACATGGAATCCGTTTATAAAGTCACTAAATTCTGGTTTGAGCCATGTTGGTTTATGCAGACTACTTGGTTGGAGTCCGCGTGACTATCGTAACAAATGTTTGGAGACTCTGACTCAGGTATATACACTCTATATTACTTTCTAACAACTAATTCTTTCTCCTTGTATCATATCCCTCTATGAAATCAAGGTAATTAATTTATATAATCTGAGTGTAGTCCACCTGAAGAGTGTAGATTTATGTGAACGGCTTAAAGCCACCTCTTATCAAATTAAGAGATAATGGGTACCATTTTGATGTTTAAAATGGAGTAGGCTTGAAATCCAAAGATAGGTGGTTAGAAATCAAATGTTGCTAGTGTAATGAACGAAGACTTGGGTAGAATAAATCAACCCGTATATTCAGAAAAATCCCACATTGTATTTTTAATCTATGAAACAATTCACTTAATACACCGTTTGCACATCTTTGAATTGTCTATAACAAGTCCTATCGTTCTTGCATTCCCGTTACTACTTAGACTGCTTTTAACTTTTCTTTCTCTTCTCCTCACCTTCTTCTTTTGTCAATAAGAATCCTATCCCCTTAATTCCTGACACATACTACTTATATCTATCCGTGTAAGTAGCACACACCATATAAAGATGACAATTTAATAATGATTAAGAGTTGACTAGATCTAATTTTACAAGGTGATAACAAATCAGTATTATCAACCCTTTTCTATGAACTTTACCGTTTCGTCCAAGTGTCTGACTCCTCAGAAGTGCGCATTCACAACTCCGCATGCGGGAATCGAATCCAGGACCTTCAGTCTCGTGCACATTCACCCTTAACCTCTAGACCATTGAGCCGGCACCGAACGGTGTTAATTTCTAAACCTAACCAATCCACGAAATTGTTCCAACGTTCACCATTGTCTTCAGTGAGTTACTATCTCACAACATCATACGCTCACTAGTGACTGGTTTTAAGAGGTATTTACTGGAGTTCTAGTGACCAGTGGAGTTCAACCGCGTCTGTTATGAGATAGTAGCTCAATGAAGACAATGGTGGACGGTAGCGTAATATTATGGATTGATTAAATTTAGACATTAACACCGTTGGGTGCCGGCTCCATTGTCTGGAGGTTAAGCGTTAGCGTGCGAAACTGAATGTCCTGCGTAAGGATCCCGCGAGGCGAGATCGTGGATACTCATTGCTGAGGAGACTCATAATGGGACGAAACGGTCGTCCAGTACCTCCAGGTTTTCCATGGTAGTCTAGCCTCAACTGACTCATGAATTCAACTATAATCAAATAAGCATTCGATTTCAAGTTATCACTTTGATAGAGTTTTGTTCTCTGAGCTGGATGGTTTAATCGTGAACAAAACTTCGTCAAAATCATTCACCTGAACAACAAATCTTCACCATCTCACGTTATTACTAAATATTAGCTGTTTAAAAATGTTCAGCGAGTAAATTGTACTTTCCCCCATGACTTAACACAAATCTATATTGATCTAAGTTGTTTTGTTTTATATCAACATAACGAGTGAGGAAACTGATAAGACACATGTCAAACGAGTCAAAATAATAGTAGTATCAATGACAATGCGAAAAAAACATCGGAGTACCTAAAAAAGGATTAAAGATACTCAATGTTTGTAATAAAATGAGGAATAAATGTATCTTCGGTGTTGTTGTAGTAAATGAGGATAAAGTTGTGGACAATCGAATGTATTTGAAGACAACATTAAAGAACTTACTTACTTACTTAGGCCTGTTACTCAAAATAGGCATAGGCCGCCGACCAGCATTCTCTAACACACTCTGTCATGGGCCTTCTTTTCTGGTTCCATCCAATTCTTGTTCATTTTTCTCATGTCTATCTCCATTTCTTGACGTAATTTGTTCTTTGGTCTTCCTCTTTTCCTCTGACCTTCAGGATTCCATATGAGAGCTTGTTTTGTGGCACAGTTGAGTGATTTCCTCAATGTGCGTTCTATCCACTTCCAGCACTTCTTCATCCACTGGGATCTGATTTGTTCTCTCCCACAGTAAGTTGTTGCTAATAGTGTCCGGTCAACGGATCCGAAGTATTTTACATAGACAACTGTTAATAAACACCTGTATCCTCTGGATGATTGCTTTCGTAGTTCTCCTAGTTTCCGTCCCATACAGCAGAACTGTGTTGACATTTGTATTGAAAATGCTGAATTCGCTGTTCGTTGACAGTTGTTTTGAGTTCCAGATCAGATCCATCATCTTAATCAATGATGCTGCCCAAATATGTAAAGGTTTTTACATCTGCCAAATCTTCTCCGTCAGTTGTGATTGGATTGGAACATTAAAGAATGTCTTAGTAAAATTTGAGAACTATACAGGAAATACTTCATTTGCAAAATGTCAATTAATCGTCTCAGACTTCATTGTTCCTTCATTCACACATCAATCATTCTTTGTTCTCGTTCTCTTCTCTTCGATCTTCTTAACCTTATGTCGCCAGGCATTTCACTTTCGATTAATTATACATACTACTTATATCTGTCGAAATCAGTAGCATACGCCATATTGTGAGTGATTTTCAACCGTGTTGTTTTAGTGGCCCGAGATCTGACTCTAATAAGATTGTATGAATGATTGCTGTAGAAATGTATATGTCGCCTGTTCTCGTATATAATCATCGACTTTAATCCCGTTAGTCAATAACGGATTTAGATAAGTCGAATAACGAAAATGGACTTTTGAATATATATATATATATTGTATATGAAGCGAATAGAATAGAGCGAAGCGAAATGACGCGCAGTGGAGATGGCGGGTTAGCCAACTCCCTTTTGGTCAAGCCCTAATCAATAATCATAGTCACACAAAAATAGGCTACAAACATGTGATAAATAGGATTAAAAAACGTACACACACATGTGTGCTCATATAAAAACAATGAAGATTGATAAGCGAATAACCAATAAGATCAAATTATGACTCAAATAGAATGAGTAGATTGCCCTATTCGAAAGCCAAAATAAGGTATATGGGCTTAACATAATAACCCACACTATATTAACACATAAAGTCTTCAATTATCGATTTTCATTATTTCATTGACTTTAGCAAGGAAGTTTCTATTGGTTGCTTTTTTAATTTTAAACAATGTATTTAACTTCAATATTGGCTACTTCCCTTGACTGATACATCATGGTGACAACTTTATAACTCTGTAAAAGTCATAAGAGAATAATTAATCTTCGTTTGTTTAGTTGTGTTCAGTTACTTGTTAGCTAATTTACCATTCCCTTTGCAAGCAATGATGGATAGTGGAAAGCGGTAGAATCCAGGACGCGCGTTTCGTCCTATTTGGTACTCGTCAGCTGGATGTACCTGAATCTCAGAGTTGATGTTCACTCTGAAACTCGAACCCAGTACCATTCGCTTCAAACGCCATCGCGTTATCCACTCAGCTACTGAGTACTGATAGCCACTTGCTTGTGCAATATTGTGGTTGTTTGAAAAATGCCCATTTTGAAGTTAATCATAACCTGTGGAATTCAACCACATTGTGGTCAATATATTTAGACGAGACTATATTTTATGAGTGAATCAATCAGATTAAGGATGACAGGTCTCGGATTTTGGAGCGAAATTCATCAACGCAGTTGTAAAAAATAGCATCCTGGCATTTTGGCTAATGTGATGAGAACCATAAATCTAATTCCCAATCTTAACCATCAACTATCAATCTCAACCCTTAACCTTCGTAATGCTTTATAACCATCATTTAACCCTAGTAAGTAGGGGGATATTCCCAAGGTCACTCAAAGGTCGTTCATAAATTATAGTCTCACCGATATTTAGTTATCTACTGATTACGTTGTAGTGAGATCCTATAACGCTATTAAACTATCCTCGGAACTTAGTGATCTATCAGTAAGTCCTATGTATAATTAGGGATCTAGACGTTTAAATGATCGTAAAGTTAAATGAAATGGTTATCCACTATGCCATCATTCTCAAAAAATTATTGTTTGTTGTTTTCCTTAATCAAACTACCTTTATCATTTTTTGATAATGTTTATAACAGGGCTGATCAGCTAGAGGCAAAATTACGTGAAAAAGAATTAGAAATGCAAACTAAAGATGAAGAAGCTGCAGAAGTGATCAAAAAAATTCAACAAGTTGACACTGACAAAGAAACCGCACAAACTCAATTGGCTGAAACTAACACTAAATTAGAAGAAACAGACAAACGAGCAACTGAGGTAAGTCACTATGAATCCTTCTTTAATCGTTATTACCAAATCAACAATTCACTCACTCAAAAATACCGCCATTTATTTGAGTTTGTTTAAATGATGTGACTTATATGTGGTTTTTAATCAAAGTCCAATGGTTTTATTGCTATACGAGTTATTCATATTTCATACATATACATCATGAAAAGTTATTTCACTCCCGACAAGATCAAACTCCATTAGTCACGATTTTCCATTAGAATATTGGTAATCACGCTTCAAGATGGTTGGTAGAGTAAACAGGATTGTTTTTTGATTTGGAGGTTTCTAAGGGCTGTTTACAATTTAGAGATAATTCGCTTTTTGCTGAGGAGGGAGACAGTAATTTATGAATGTTCTTTAAGAAACGCCAAAATGACCTCGGGAAAATTCATCTACTTATCATGGTCAGCTTAATTGACAGAAAGGCTGTTTAATCATAATGATGAGTGAATTTCATGCCAAAATCTATTATACGCTATCTCTAATTCTGTTGGTTCGTCCATAAATCATAGTGTCGCCCTTACGAACTCTTAACGGATATTTGTTTCTTTAAATTGTCATAAGAAATTCTTTACTATCTTTACTTCAACATTTCACTTCATCTAGTTGATCGATGCATAGGGACTCTCAAAAATATTTCTACGCTTCATAGTCCGCTGATCCATTATTTAGAGTTATTGTGTGTAGTAAGAGTCCTAAATAGATATCCTTTGGTATTCTTACTGATAGCGATTTGAAAGTGAATATCTCTATTTGAGTAACTGTGACATTCGCAATGTCATACCTGTATCATGAATATACATAATGTAGTGTTCAAAAGGATTAAAAGTAACAGATTTTTAAAAGTCAGTGGGCAACACAAGAATTTTTCATTCATTATTGCTTGTTAACGTCTTTACAGTAGACAAGTCTTAGTAGAGACGATCTGAATTTTTAGCAATCATTTTCAATTATTATACCAAGGTATCTTTCTGAATAACTAGTATATACTTGAATAAATAAATGTCATGATGTTTCATGCCAGTCGCTAACTCAGAGTAGTCATGTTATAGAAATAAAACAATTGAATGCACCTTCGAATGATTCGAAAGAAAAATTTTCAGTTTCTAACGTTCAGTTCAAGTTCACTTTTAGCTTCTGCTGTTAGTACTTGCTTATTTTTAAACGCACAACCTAGGATGAAACTAGAAACTATTCTGCCTCATAACTACAGAGGTGGGATTGATGCTATGAAATTTTAACTCAATAAATAGTGGTGTAAATGTCGAGTAGATAACAAACAATTTCAAATCTTCAGTGAGGATAGACGTTTTTTTAGTAAACTCCTGACTAAATATCTCTGGACCATTTCTCCACATCTTTTTATGTTTCTGATATGAATCTTATTATCGGTGTACATTCAACAAGTCTATCTGGATCCTCCTGTAGAACTAAAATAATTCAGCTTTGGTCTAAAAACATTTTATTACGAACACACTGCGTATGTTATCAGGTAACTATGTCCTCATTGTTTGTCAAAAGAAATAACGGCTGGGGTAACTAAAGGTTACACCTCAGAATTGTGGTCATGTAAGACGCCATAAAGAACAACCAACAAAGATAGAGACCGGTCATTACCTTTTTCATCGTCACTTTTAAATACCACTTAAAACAGGAGACAATGGTTTTTCTTAGATTAACACAAGCACCTACATTGTTTTACGTAAGTCCACTGAGTTATCTTTGACGCCGGTTTCTCCACTCTGCCAGTCACATAGTTAGGAATGGGGTTAGTCTGCGGAATACATCAGCAATCTCATTGCCAGTTAGACAATGTGCTGTACTGCATTGAAAGCCTTGAGAAGAACGCAAGATAACTCATGAACAGTTGCTTTCTAACCCCAGAAGAATATTTCACTGTTTGGTACCAACATAATGGTTGTAAAACAAGAATAACCTTTATGAACGAACTTTTTGTCTCATGAGGGATTTTTCTGAGGTATTTCGTAAACCCTACTGTTTCACATAAAAGAGAAGATTTTATCCATATTTCTTGTCAGGACATGAACTGAAGATTTGAGATATGTCAAGGCAACAACAAGAGCTCCTTTATATATGCTCCCTCCCGTACTATAAATAAATGCTTGACTTGGGGTTCACCTCGATGTTTATGACGATCTCTGATTCAGGAAACCGCTTTTTATTCCCACATTTTGATGCTAAATCTGTTTGTTAACATCATATATTCACCAAGCGCTATGTTCGTCAATAAATTGAAACGTATTTTTCTGAAAAAACGACCTTATCTGCTTACTTCCGCACTGTCGCCGCTTTCCATGCGCAACAACTCAGATCCCACAATTGTTTGGTGATTCAGCTCTTTTGCAGCCTTAGTCATCTGACTTACTACCAAAGCTCTATACTTCTAAGGTTAAAAATGTAAAATCTCTGCTATTTGAAAATACATATGGAATGGTCCATAGTTTTTCGTCTTCTTCAGCACTCACCCGGAAAAATACAGAGTGGCCGCTTCTAATAATTGTTACGGTAACATGCGATTTACATGGATATCCCTAGATCTGCACTATGGGTTGAAAGGCTATTTATATGAATGAGAACAACTTATAGTATTTTAGACACTGTTATCATGCCAAACAAGAAAATTCGTTTTCAATAAGTATATCCGGACGAGCTTTTGTCACTTACTTTGAGGCTAACGTATGAGCCCATTAAGGGATTCAGACATTTTGGTCTGTCTCAAAAACAAATAAAGTTAGGTATGCGTCTCTGCGCCGCTTTTGCCGTATTTCCGGATGTAAGCCAGATTGTTTGTCATTAAAGTGTCCATACAATTGATGAAGCTAATTTATTTGAGTAAAACGATAAGTGTTATAACCATGACCTGTGATAATGCATGATCATAATGGCATCGTCTGTTTATATTTTAAACGGCTGAGTGAACTAATCAGATCACAAACGAAGAACTACGTTGCAAGCTGCTGGTAATTGAGGTGATATGTAGCGTCCATGTTAAACACGCCACAGATATCCTACGTTTGATAACGCTTTTGTCCGTAACACAATTATACTTCAAGGGTATCAGACCAGCCATATCAGAGGTTAGGGATGAATGACTTCGGAGATATTTTAGTACAGTTGTCGTTATATTGAGAAGTGTTCCATCCAAGCTAGCCAGCAGTTGTGAGGGATGGGTAGCGCGACGTACCCACTCGTGATCTGGTGTGGATACGTGACCGAACGCCTCCAGCTAGGGCGTGTTCAGCAAAACTAATGACGTCATTGTCAAAGACTTACAGGAATATGTATTTCGGGTAGTTATTTACAGCTACAACGTTTAGTCGCAAGTAACTTTGTGTACTAGGAGAGCATGGAGTGTGGAGTGAGCGGGGAGAGCTGATAACCCATCAAGTACACAAAATGCACTTACATTTAATGGGAGACGCAACAGACAACAATCAGCAGTAACGCGAGCCCCAGACTATGACCATCCCTTTTTCCATTCCACTTTGATTGATAACATATAATGTGAGTAGCACTCGAAGCCTCATTCTTTTCTGGGTAACGTAAATGTCGAGTGCTTCTGGAATTACTTGAAAACGCTTTTTAAACTGGTTTACAGAAAGTCAAGGTCAAATAATTCCAGATATATTGCCTCCAACACTGAGACTATTTTCCGGAAATATATGGTTGTTACAGTACTATAGTACCTTATTATCACAGTAACAAAACGACTGATTATAACACTTTCTCGCATATCTCACCAATGTAGAACAATCAAAATCATTCAGAGAATGTTTCGGATGTAATTGAATCCACCAAATTCACCCCACGAGTTTCATTTTACGATACATCTCGAGAGTCTAATGAGCACACCTGGGACGGCTCAATTGTGAAGAGTCAGGTTCATAAGATTAAGCACTTAATACACAAAGGAGTAAGAAGAAGGAATCAAGACAACTCAAGAATAAAGGAAGAGCCAAAAAGGATAAAAAGTTTTTTAACGCTACTTTCTTATGACTGGAGATTCGGCTACCAAAATCGACTGTCGGATGTAATAGAATCTGGAGTACATCCAGTGGAATTACTCGGACCAAGGTTAGAACCTGAGGGTGAAGACCAGGCGACTTTAGAGAGCTATTCAGAGTGCAGGAATTTATTATACGAAGGGACGGATGAACCGTTATTTTCCGATTATGGGAGCGAAAGTGACGATGAAGACGAATACATTAAACGGAGACGCTGCTCGAAGTTCATCGATGACAACTCTGCTATGGAAGAAGCTTTATCAGCCGTTTATCTTAATTCCGGAACCCTCATAAAGATGGCAATCATTGGTGTTGAGCTGCAAAATGTTATCAAAGTTTCCTTACGAAAGGTGAGGATACTTTATTTACACCGATATTTTAACCGCCGTGTTTGGTTTTTATTGCACATTTTGGTCATAAGATATATTCGGAATATTTTAACTTAAGAATGTCCAGTCCTGTTATCGGTGCTGTAAAGTCTAAAATGCAAGGAATGAAGCTTCAAATTGACCAGCTTAAGCAAGAGTTATCTACTAAACAAGCTATTTTAAGGAAGGAGGAAGAAAATAAAACCAAGGTATATAGATTTTAAGACCTACTATATTTACATGGAGTCGAACAACTTCTTTATTTGTTTTGTTTATTGATTTTAGGCTGAAGCTGAAGTCGCCTCACTACAGAAGAGAATTCGACAGCTTGAAGATGAATTGGAATCTACCGAGACTCGTCTTCAAGAAGCTACTGTTAAGCTCGAAGAAGCGAGTAAAGCTGCTGATGAAAGTGATCGGTTAGTTTATGATACTCAAAAATAACTTTTTAATCAATCATAATCACGTGTCATTCGTCGTGTTCACCCTTGCAATCTTGTTTATAAATGCTTATGACGAACTGGTCAGTTTGATGGTTCCGGAGATTGTTGTTCCGTTAAAACATATGGTGAATTGTGAAGTTGCTCGTAATTCGGAAACATATCTTCACGAATTTCTTGAGATTTGTTTCTGATTGTCATATTTCATGACCAAGTATTTAGTGCAGTCCAGATTTCTAGTATGGTAGTGCAATCTCTTACACAAATTGGTTTTCGTTAAGAATTAAAAGCATATTTTAACACATTTTAGGTATTTTACACATTGCGGAAATACAGTCTTTCCTTAGTCTTATAGCGGATTCAAGACCAGGCTTAAGAGCAGGAAAATGTTTGTTGGATATAAAACTATGGCAAAACTGGATAAACTATTCTTAACTCCGTAAACCTAGGAATTAGTGGCTCCAGTTTCACAAAATGATGTCTACCTGGCAGTTAGATTAAAACATCACTGACAGCCTACTAGTTTAGAAGACCCTCTCAATGTACATTGCTCGAATTAGAACTGATATTGACTTTTAGGTTAAACTTGAAAGCATCTGGGTGGACAATTGTATTTGTTGCTGAGCAATCGAAAAGGTCGTGCTGTTTACTTGTATCTGATAAATCTAATGTTTTTAGAACCTGCATCGGCAACGTCCAGCGTATTTTGTATCAAATTCTTTGGTTTCCAATACTAAAACATTTCGTGATTGTAGGTGTTAATACAGTCTTAATACAATCAACTATCTTCATGTATGCTCTTATGGTTTTGCTTGTTAATAGGGCTTACTGCTAGTATGGCTCATTTTGTGGAGACTAAAACAGTATTTGAAAAATTCTTGTTTTCCCTGTCGTTTGGAAATTGAAACCAATAGGCTTATTTGACTCAAGATTATATTTCCAATGGAGATCCTAATCACATAGTTTTGGTGATTGTATGTTGCAGACTGTCTATTCGTCCAAGTGTATCTCGTTAGTCTGTTGATATGAATGTAAAGCTCCGCATTAGTGCTATTCCTATGGGTTTACAAATATTCATCGTATTTCTTATCTAATGTCATCAAGTTTAAGATGCGTTTTTCTGTCTAAATTGCGAATGCTAATTCAGAACTAGTCTACTTTATCGCTTTGATTGATCGTAGAGCGAAGTTAAATGCATTGACCAGTCTATTTACCTCTGAGGTCTTATCAACGCTAGTTAGTGTTTGACTTCAAAACAGGTTCAGAAATCCTGCTTAGTCATAGACTTTAAGTGAAATAGCTCATAATCAACATAATAACACAACTGCATTCATTCGTTTTTTCAGTCTAGGTATTGATTCTCAATATCTTTTCAAACATACCTTTTCATTCTGTCTTTTCGGAAAATAGCAACGTTAGATCATCCTGATTCTCATTACTATTAAATTATTTCGACTTCTTTCATCTCGTGCCACTATAGCAACTTAGAATGACACGCCTGTCTTAGGCTCTGCCTTAATTACAGTCGACTGATATCTCACTCGGTGATATAATGTAGGTGGATAACCTTAACAGTTATAGTTTACTTAGGAATAACATTTAGTTACATAACAAACTTAAAAAAGATGAGTTCATTTAAGCCTTTTTTATATCCTCCACAAAACATCATGCTGATGTTTCGAATATGAGGGTCTTGAAAGTAGTTCATTCAGTATTTAGCTCGGGGATTTCTCACAGATTCGAGTGTTCAACCAATCGAACACTCATTGAAAATCATTTATTAGAAATATCTGAATTTTATACTTTCCGTTTAGTGTGACAACTAAAGGGATGAATCAGTGTTTTGCTTAACTACGTCAAATTCATACTACTAAGTAAGAGTCGTCACACTCTCAGTCGTAAAGTAGTCAACACTTTCTATTTATTCAAATGAATTGATTTATGGATGACAACATTGTTCCCCATTTTGATCGATTTTGTTTGATTATGTTTTGTCATTGACACTATATATTCATAATCTTAGTGCTCGTCGGGTGCTTGAGGCCCGCCAGACTGCGGAAGACGAGCGGATTTTACATTTGGAATCTGTGGTACAAGAAACTGCAAAATCTGTGAGAGATGCAGAAACGAAATACGAGGAGGTATTGTATTACATTAAAAAATATTTTTTTAAATAAACATTAATACATATTGACTGTTTGGTTGTATTGTTTCTAAAACCAATTCAGAGGAAACTTTCTCAAACTTTGTATTAATAACAAAGTATTATGAAAACATTTAATTCCTTTATACATGTTTCATAGTGGTCGTAAAGTATTGGAGAATCGTACTTTCGCAGATGAAGAACGTATCAATCAGTTAGAAGAACAATTAAAAGAATCTACATTTATGGCTGAAGATGCTGATCGAAAATACGATGAGGTGCATTTCTAACTAAAGCTAATGCATTCAATGTCGTATGAGAATGAGTTTCAGTGCATGCCATATTGTATCTGTGTTTACAAAAACTGTTAGAATAGTTTAGATAGTGATTGATTGTTATTTCTACCAATTTTGCATGCCTTGTTATTCAGATAAGTTTAGATGGAACTCAAAACATGGTACATTTAGAAATTTTTTCAAGCATTTACAAAGACAATTATAGTAGTCACTATGGCAAGACTATGGTTTATGGACAACCTTCGACTTATTCTAAAGTGACCTTAGGAAATTTCAATCACTTCATTGGTTCAAAATAGGGTTGTACATTAGTGTAAGGAACTAGGATTAGGAGTTTTTCATGACGAACTGACATAAGCTATAACGCCGAAATGCTATTTACCCATATGGATAAATAAATTACACAACAAAATCCAGGAGTTACTGTCTTAAATCCGATTGGTTCGTCCATAAATTATAGTCTTGCCATTTTGATAGTAGAATTTGTGAATCCACTCCATCAGGTTCATTTGATGTATTACAACTGCATGCTGTATTTTACATATTGCTTTAAGTAGCTGTTATTCGCTAAATGCATTGTTTATCTCATTTGTACAATTGTATAAATTGTATCATAAGGTTGTACAATTGGTGATTACGCGGTTTGCTGGTTCTATACTTCCCCCTCCTTCTAATGAAAATACATATTTCAATACTTGATAACGTTTAGTTTGCGTGATATCATTCAATTTTCAATCGATTGTTAACGAAAATTCACCTTCATCAGTGGATTGTCAAAGTACATTGTCGAGATATGATGAAAATGTGTTGTTCAATCAGTTAACATCTAACACATATAGTCAGCTACGTATATCTAGTGTGTATACATACTATGAGTCAGTGTCTGTAACACAACTGCAGCCAGATTTTCAGGCCAAGAGTGAAATGTCGCATCATGTGGTTTTACAGTCGTTAACGTATGAAATTGTCAGTCCCTTTTATTTTGTTTTATTTTTAGTCCTAAAAAACCTTTAATTATTACTTATATATCACGTCATCTTATCGTATTGTGGTAACTTAATATTCTATATGATTTTATAGCAAACAAAAAAATTAAAATGCATAAACCTAACTTGTTGTATATGTAGGCGGCTCGTAAGTTGGCTATCACGGAAGTGGAACTCGAACGGGCTGAGTCTCGATTGGAAGCTGCCGAAAGGTAGTAATTCCTTCCTACTGCTACTATTAATACTACTATTACATTTGATTATGCACCAATATTGATCGTATGTTCTTTGTGTGTTTATATGTAGCATGTTAATTTCCACTTGATGCCCACTTGTTTTATAATTTTCTCTCAATTCTGTCTGTTTTTGGTGTTGTATACATTTTATTATAATTGATTCAAGGCATGTACAAGTGCAAAACTGAACATTATTTTCGTGCTTTTAAATTTACATGGCTTGGATTTATTTTTCGCTGATTGTCGTGCATCTCTTCTATCTATTGCTGTGTTAATTCGTTTGCTTGACCTATATGTTCGGCTGTCATTCGCAGGCCACTCGAAAACTTGCCGTTGCCGAAGTCGCACTGTCTCACGCGGAAGATCGGATTGAAGCTGCAGAAAGGTACTTCTTCTTAGATTTACTGGTGAAACTGGTGATTTACATCCGGTATTGCACCATATCTGTAGTCTAGTTCGATTGTATGTGATGTTAAATGTGGGATCTTTTTTTCCCACTAAAAAATACTAGCCATTTGTCCTCAAGAACAACATTAAACGAAACTGCACTTAACTTACTAAATAGTTTTACCATTATCATTAGTGTTTTTCATGTTATGGAAAGACCTGGTAGATATGTCGGTTATGCATGTTGTTTCTTTGAAAACTTCAATTCTCATCGTATGAATAGTAATTTTGTGAAATAGAGAAAAAAAATGGGAGTAATTAGTTTCTTATTGGTCACTTACTATATTAGTCAGTTGGTTTGTGTGGTGTGACAGTTGCACAAGCTTTTAACTATCTAATTAGTTCATTGAATGTATATTACAACAGTCAATATTGTAATCGCATTGTGTTATTTTGTTCAGTTTACTGCATTACTTATTGCTTGAATTTATTTTATTTCATATAGCATATATTCCACACCCTACTCCCTAGTATGTAGCCGTCATTATCGTAGTCTGTGTAATATACAGTCAACTCATCCACTACATACTTTAATATCAGCCATCGATATAGATAAGGCAGATCTCGAACTCGAAATACTTGGTAACTGAAAGTTGAGTACTAAGTTACCGCTCCTTATTTTAGGGAATATTTGATAGAGTAAGGTTGTTCATAAGAATTATACACTCATTCTGCTAGAAAACAATGATTAGTCGTTGACTAAAGTATTGGATTACAGACGGGAACTTTTAATTTTGAACAACTCTCATTGTCTCTTAAATTATATCTAGAAAGTGTTCCCAAATATACTATAGGTTTACTTTGACCATTTAAGATTAACCATAGTGATTATACATTACGTTTTTTTTTTAGTAACCCTGATCTACTTTTCTTCCTTTGATTTCTCTTATTCATGCATGATTTTAACATGATGTGCTATGGTGTTATCAAATCATTTCACTGCATCATTTTGCATGCATTTCTAATTATAGTCGTTTAAAGGAGCTTCAATCAATTATTCACGGTACAATGGGTCAGTTAAAATCTTTAGAGCATCAAGAATCTCAGGTTTGTAAACTAAGCATTATTTATATAAAACATATGTAATATTGACTAATACAGGGTATATTCCTTCGATCTCATCAATAGTAATAATGCTAAGGTACTTATAGTGACTATATTGAGGAATTTAATGGAGAGTAAACTGAAATGATTAGATAACAACCAGTAACTAACACATAGACCATGATAATAACAACAATTCGTATTGTTGTAACGTATGCATGGTTATGAAGGTTTGTCGCATGATTTAATTCGTGAATATTATCATGTAGTCTTTTCTCTTCATCTAATTTCTACTATCAGGATTGCATGATTTATCACTGACTGCCTGTTTATTTCCTGCTATCCCTGAATGCTTTATACCACTTCGTTGTGTGTCTACAAAATGAAAAACTGCATAGTGTTTCTAAGTTAATTTATTATAATCTGTTTATAGTAAAATTACAGAACTCGAAGAAGAGTTACGCATTGTTGGTAATAATGTAAAATCTTTGGAGATATCTGAACAAGAGGTATTTCTATTATTTTGTAGATTCTATATTTATATATATTTGCATATCATATATGCAACTGATCGACCAGTGTATAGTGACCAATATCTTGTTTGTGTAGTCTTTTTATTGCTGATCGAAATTACAATGTGATCACTATTCTAAGTGAATCGACATTACTTGCACCATGTTAAATGGTTGGAGGTAAAGTATCGCTTTCGCTGTTTCATTCTAATGCACAACTTCCATATACTATCAAGCTAAAAAAAGATGGATAGATTTCCGAAAAGGAAAATACAACTGACGAAATCATTCTTTACCATCGTTCAGTCTTCTTAGCCATTGACAAGCCAGTTTTGTGCATTCACTCACGAGATTGAAGGTTGTAGGCCTGACTCGCGGTCGTGGGGTTGTGGATGACTCACTAGCGAGGAGGTTCATATGAGACGGTGGAACAACTGTCCAGTGCTTTCAGCTTTACAATGATTGTCTAACTTGGATCAGTTCATGATTTCAATGAAATTCAACTATCTCCACAACCCTACACTAATGATCAGAATATGTAGATTCACAAGTCTGGATATCTGTCTATGTAAATAGATCACCATACACACACATACATCTAATCTATTTTAAACTGTTCACTTTCAACATATCTGGCGGCTCACAGTGAACCATCATGCTTTAGATGTATTTTAACTGAATAATTTTGAATATTAACTATATGTGTGCTTACTTATACATCATTATTATTATGAAACTTTTTTATTTACCAATTAAGTACGTTCGAATAATTTTCTGGTCAGCGTTTTTTAGCGAGTTATTTTTCTACGGGATGGGGTCGCTAACCTCATGCCCAACCCTTGTCCCTTATCCGGGCTTGGGACCGGCAGTAGCCCCAGAGGGACTCTAGGCGAAGTTATTAAGTACATTAGAAAAGATTTACTATTACTATGTACTGACAAAGTTCAGTTCACTTTTGAAGGTGAATACTTTCGTCAGATTGATGGAGTTGCTATGGGTAGTCCGCTAGGACCATTACTAGCAGATGTGTTCATGGCACATGTTGAAAATCAGACTGATGAATTAATCGGAAACATGTCACTTTATAAGAGATATGTGGACGATATCTTAGTTGTTTGTGAGAAAAAAGAGGATATGTACGGTTTATTAAATAAACTCAACACTCCAAAACCATATTAGTCTCTCATGTGAAGAGGAGAAAAACGATCGGCTTCCCTTCCTAGATATACTCCTGAGTAGACGAGAAGATGGTTCAGTCAAGCGATCTATTTTTAGAAAACCAACGTGGACACGTCAATATCTTAGTTATTATAGTTATTGCCCTGTGCAATACAAACGTGGTTTGATAAGGTGTCTTTTCAACAGACTCGACCGTATTTGTACCAATGACGCCATTTATGATGATGTTAAGTTGTTAAATAAAACGTTAATAGAAAATGGCTATCCTCTGAAATTCATAAATAGATGGAAAGTCCATGGTACAGCGAGACCTACTGTAGCCTCGGTAGAGAAAAAGCCTGTCTACATCACCTTACCATTCAGAGGTGATTCAAATAGCCTTTTATTGAAACAACGACTTAAATCAGTCATCAATAAAACCTATTGCGCAGCAAAGGTCATTATCAAAGAAAGAACAAGGTGCATGCTTCATTCAAAACCTAAAGTACATGGAGACAATTGCGTCACATCCCACTGTGTTTACCAATTTAAATGTGTGTGTGGTCACACATACATAGGGAGGTGTAATCGTGATCTCAACATTAGGGTGAGTGAACATGTACCCAAATGGCTTCAGAAACAAATACAATCAAGTGACCCAATAAGAGCAGAGGATAAACATCCATCATCCTCTATTGCTAAACATATAATTGAAACAGGTCACAAGATTGACTTATTAGCCAGAGTGATTAGGTTTCAAATTGTGTTCACATTATTATTATTATTACTCTTATCATTATCCTTATCTCCTCTTACCCCGTTTCCTGTCTAGTTGACCTTTTATTTTTATATATAAATGCTCTTAACAAGTATATGTGTGACCAGATTGTTCGAAATGTATTGCGCTAATATATCACATAGTTCTGATAATCTTCGTCTTCTAATTACATTATCGAAATTTATCAAAGGCACTAATTATTTTACATTAGAAAATGAAAATGTTAACATTCAAATTTTCTTAGAAAAATTAGTACTGATTACATCTCATAGTGCTCTACACTTTTTCCCCAGCCAAATCCTACAAAATATTTCAATATGGAGAAGATTTGTAGCTCAAGTGAATTTGGTGGAGTTTTCTCTAAGCTGAATAGTTTGATCGCAGAGTTTTCATTGTTGTTTTGACCAACGACATTAGCACAGACTTCAGGTAGAAGTGTTCCGATGTGTTTTAGATGAACACTGAAATGCTGTGAATAGATTCTTTCCAAATCTTGGTTGCTATTAATCCATCAGGTGTCATACATCCGACGTGGAGGGTGGTGGTAAGTAGTTGTTGCTCGAACGCCTACACTAAAGCTCAATATGTTTAATGTGTTATTCAACACTAACAACTATCACTTTACTGGATATTCTCTGTTTTTGTACCTAAAATAAGGGTCGAGAATCATGTGACATCAATGGTAATATTAAAAATGATATACCTAAATTGTGGACAATTAAAATCAATGAGACGTCAGTTATGTTACACGCCATTTTATTCCCTTATTTTAGTCTAACATTGTATTTGCCTACATTGGACTGGTCATATTTATATTCTAGGCAGCCCAACGCGAAGAGGCATATGAAGAGAATATTCGTGATTTAACTGAGCGCTTAAAAGCTGTAAGCTAAGCATGCTCAGACACCCCCTTTTTTTTCTAATACCCAACTTGTGTGTAAAAGTTGCATGGGGAACTTGACACTTGAAATATTATTGTTATTATTTAAATAATCATGTTTATTCTGATATCTGTTTTTCCCCATGTTTTTTGTGTTAAATGCATGTTTTCTTGGATTGGATATTGAATTCGCATGTTCTCAAATACTGTTTTTTGGGGGGATGGGGTGGGATACATTCCATTTAGTTAAATAAACAACGTAGTCTTCATCAATCTCAACTTGCCTCTTTATCAAAACAATTGATTGAGGTATTTTTAGTTTTTTTTTTCTATTTTGTTTTATTTTATTTGTAAAGTGATTGAATTTTCCCAGTGGTTGCTGTTAAGAACTACACGTACTTCCAATTGATGAAGCCTAAATAGGACGGAATATGTACCCTGACTTCCACTATTAGTTACTATTGAATTGTGCTTAAAAATACTCGTTACTGTGTTATAACTATATAGTTGGTGCTAACACAGTTGATTAACTAGCCAGTTGCTAACAGTGTCGTAGAATCTTGCATAATTGTGTATTTATTTATTTATTTTAACACATAAATGTTGGTACAAGGAGGTATCAAATACATATGCGCCACACAGATCCCATATGATATGTATGAGGGCTGGGATACTGCCCGAGTGCCAAAACCGAAGCAGGTGGTTTTCTTAGGGGGCCACACCCAGAGCCTTCGACCTGAAGGTCTGATCCACAAGGCTGTGGAGCAACGTCAGTAGATGCAGTCCCATGGTAGCCGGTGACCAACGATTGGTTCATACGCCATTTGTTCCTTCAGGATACTGGAGTCCATGTGCACCATTGGTTTGGAATGAGGGTTTTCCAACTCCCCTAGGTAGACTCTCCATGTCCACCAACCCGGTTAAAGCTCCGGACGTTCGCTTTCCGTCCTCTCAATTTCGTAAGCAACATTAATAGCACGAGAAGGCAGTTAGTAGGACTTCCCTTGGAGTGACTGTGCACGCGTGTCTATATGAGAGCATTTCGAGAGGGAGAGCGGACTGTCCTTACTCTTGGTCGTACCAGGGCATTTGAGGGCCATTGTGCAAGTGGGAATGAACTTGATGCATGGTGATCAAATTTTAATTATACTATTTAAGGTATCTAATCGTTAAGTGTGGTTATCTCACAGACCTCCAACCAAAATATTTTAACATCTAAGCACATGATTCAGTCACTTTTTGAACAAACATTATTTTCCAAATTATTAATGTGTTTATTAGCGTTGCATGTTGGGGTATGTTGTATATAAATGGGTATAAGCACGTCTCAGCCATTTAATTAGGTGGAAGTCTACCAATTTACCATCTCTTACTAGTGTAACCTTACACTTAATCTTAATATGGCTCATTTAGTGGTTCCATCATACAACGATGCTTCGAAGAAATTTATGTTCAAATACTAGCAAACTATGCTTATTTTGAACTTGTCAGATCATATGGTATGGCAGCTTTGGCTAATGTATATCCATTCTTGATCGCTGGCTGATTATCACTGACTATTGTGAAGTTAACTACCCATTTGATAGAAATATACATGGATGTCTTGACTGTTCTATATGTAGTGAAATGATTCAGTTTGGCCATCATTAGATTCATTCTTTCTACTTCTATGAATTTGGTGTTCATCTTGTTCTGCTGATGAGGTGTGACAACTTGGACCGATGCATATATGTGCCTGGTCCTACGTTGTAGCTAATTGACTGACTGAGCTTTCTTCCAGCCTTCTCCTATACCAGACAATATCACTCATCGAAGTAAGATGTGGATGGGCGTACGTAACATATGTTCCAACCATCTCAGTTAATGAAGATTTACTACCTCATCAATCGAATTGCCACCCTTACTTAGTACTCTTTCCCTAACCCAGGCATCGTTTACTCCGTGATCCAAAAATACATGAGGAGTGTTTTGAAGACACCTATGATTAAATGCTTTATTTTTAATGGGCATGTTTCATATTAATTAAGTAGGACGAAGTAAACTGCTGCACAGTAAACTTATCCTATGGTTTGCAGACGGATATCTCGCCTATGCCACAAGTTACACAAGCTGGCGAAAGTCAATCAATCCTGAATCTGTGCTGAAATTTCGTCAGACACCAAACTATCAGGACTAGTAAGACTCCCAAGATAAGTGGGACGGTCGATGTGTTCAACTACTTCACTCGTTACCATTAATTCAGGCGCTAACTCAGGCCAATCCTAAAGTAAAATTTGACATTTGGTGGGAGAGAACCGCATCTCAAATATCCTTACATTGTTGCTGAAGGTGGTTAAAATATTGCATTTTATCAGCGTTTTCACCAAACAGAACTATATCATCTGCGTATTCTAAGTCATTGTCTATGGTATGAATATTGTTGGTATTTTATTTCTCGTTTAGTTGATTCTTAAGTTTGTAAAACTCTTTATTAGTTATTGCATTATTGGTAGAGTAACCAAGTCTTTTTTATTGAAGCATGCATAGAAGATACTTCAATAGATGGTCTGATTTCCATGAAAAGGAAGGTGTATTTCACACTGTATATTTCATTTATAATTATTATCGTTATTATTAGGCTGAGGATCGAGCTCAAGAATCTGAACGACTTGTCAACACTTTACAAGCTGATGCCGATCGTCTTGAAGGTAAAATACGCATACACACACATATATATATACCCTACATCGAAATATTTGTATTTCAGCATCTAAATAGGTTTTCTTTTGCATCGTGTTGTTTAGAGATTTGGATTTATCTTATATCCTAGTATATTACCCTAAATAATGTGTGTATTTAATGCATGAGTGAATGCTTGCCTGTTTTTTTTCATTTTATTCGGCATATAATCTTTCTTCCAAAACATTAAACTGGAACTATATTCCAGGCTGAACGACGTGTTAAAGAAGCAAGTCATCAAGAGGAGATGAAACAAATAGAATTGTGCAAATTAGAAGGTGAGTAGTGTGCATTCTGAGAATACTTGTTTTTCGAATTATTTATAATTCAGTGTATACTCAACTCGGAACTCTACTGTTTCATGTGTCAAAGAAGAAGGCTAATGATATGTACATCTAAACCGTTACTTCATATGACGATATCACTGTTATCATCGTTATTCTGGTAGTAGTCAATTTAATGGCATTAAGTTTCCTATTTAGCTTGATTAATATTGTCCATTTTGCAACAAATCTTATCCTGTGAAGCTTCTTAGTTCGTTTGAGCGTTATTAAAAGTATGTAGGCGTTTGGCACTTCTTTTTATTGGGCGATCTGAAATGGAAACTGGTCTTGATCACATAAGTGAGGGAGGATAACTCCTTGAAGCTAGTCACACGCAGCCTTTTGTTAGCGGTTTTGAATAAATTAGCTGTCAATTTGAGGTGTGCTTTCTTCATAGTCAATCTTTTCGAATGCGCCCATTTTGTTGTGGAAAGGCATCACCACTTCAAATTATGGATGTCTGACGGAAATAACTAACAGCCGTCAAACTTTAGTAAAGTCAACTATGTAACTTTCCTTCTATCCTATTGTCCTCTAATCGATCTGTTTGTCATAATAGGACTTAAGGAAACAAGTATTTCAGCTAATACAGCTGATTGGATCATCACAATGGACAAGCCTAATCACTATCACAATATCGCTATTTCAATTTGTTTTACGTTTTCTATTACTAATCCTCTCCCTGTCTTAAGTCTGACTACTAAATTGATGAAATTTTTCTCATAGAATTTAGTCGAATAAAAAGAATGTAGTCTGATTCGTCCTCCCCTCCCTCCTATGTTACTCACGTACGAATTCATGAAACGTACATTTTATCTATGTATTTATCACGCAAATAAGAAGAATTCACTGTAAACACAGTTGTTCATAAGCAAAGATGGATGGTGGCTAGCAGTGGAACCTAGTAGGCACGTTCCATCCTATTTTGGAACTTATGAACCGGATGTACCTGTATCCGAGAGTTAACTCAGTAGCTAAGTGGATAACGCGATAGTGTTTGAAGTCGAACGCTACTAAGTTGGAGTTTCGGGGTGAACATCAACTCTGGGATACAAACACATCCAGTTGACGAGTCCCAAAATAGGACGAAGTGCGCATCTTGAATCTCACTATTAGCCATCAGTCATCTCTGCTTGTGATCTAAGGTAATATCGAGGCAATCCATACAGGATGTACATATGCCAATAAGAGACTGATCAATTCCAATCCTAAACATCAATCTGAAGATTAAAGTAAACAATACAAAATTGAATAATTGATTATACTTTATATTCAATTAATCATTCATTCATCATTCATTCATTTATTTGTAGAAACATTGGAAGCTGAACAATTAAATCATACGAATCTACGTCGTGAAATGGAAACAATGTTTACTGAAGTAGAAAATATCTAATCAATAGTTTACTATTGACAGAAATATTTTGTTATTTGAATACTTTTCAAAGGAACTAATCATGATCATGCCCCAGTTACATACAACTGTATACATATACATAAGCATGAGATATGATCAGTTAGATAATGCTATGAAAAATTTACAGCATGATCTCTTTTGGTTTGTTTTATGCCTAACTTCTATTGTCTACTGAATAATGCTCTTTTCTTTTTCCAACCCCTGCCTCCTTCTCCTCCTCCTCCTCTTCCCCACACTTTTGAGAATGTGTCTTGAAGATTTCCTCTTGGAAATACTACTGTGCTGTTACTATTATTTCTCATCAGTATTACTTCAATTGTGTGCTTTGTTTTCACCTTGTGTTTTTGTTATTGTTGTGTATGGTCTTATTGGTGAAGATTTTGATCTTGTAGGATGTTATGCTATTCTGTTCTGGTAAATCAGCGCCTATTTATACTTTCTCATAGGCTACTCTTGTGTTTTTTCTTTGGTTCCATAATATCAGTATTTTTTTCTATACTAACTCCCCTTCTATTCTTTGTTTGTCTACCATCCTCATATACAATTAGTGCCTGTTTTTACCCAAATGATTTCCATTGTTTATACGTGCATTATGTTTCTCATTTGTTTCCATGCTCGTTTATTTACATGGTGTGTGCGTGTGTGTGTGTGAATGTGAGTGTTTGAGCTTTTGCATAGTGTCATTATTAGCCTTATGTAATCGGAACATTAATTGTTAATATAGTAAACAATTTGTAATCAAGTACACAAACTTGTGTTCTATTCACTTACTAACTATTATTTAACTGAAGTAAATACTTTTTTTATTATATTAGTCGATATAGAGAATTTAGTCGGTTTTAGTTAGATTGTTAAGTGTTTCAACTCTACTTTATTTACTGTTACTATGCATGTACCATTGAAAGGAAACTATGCTAGACTATGATGTACATATCTTGCACAGATGCCCTGATACGACTGAAGGTGGGGAGAATTAGCTTTCACATGGCCACTCTTATACAGCCACTCCAAGGGAAGTCCTACTCACTGCCTTCTCTTGAAGTAGATGTTGTTTACGAAATTGAGAGGCCGAAAAGCGAATGTCTAGTGCTTTAACCTGTTTGGTGGACACGGAGGATCCACGTAGGGGAGTTGGAAAACCCTCATTCTAAATCAATGGTGCATATGGCCTACAGGATCATGAAGGAACAATTGGTGTATGAACCAATTATTGGTCACCGTCTACCATGTGACTGCATCTACTGACGTTACTTCACTTCCTTGTGGATCATACTTTTAAGTTGAAGTCTCAGGTAGTGGCTGTCTAAGGAAACCACCTGTTTCGGTCTTTGCACTCGGTCAGTATCACAACCCACATACAAATCAAGTGACTTGTGTAGCGCATATGTATCCGATGTCCCTTTGTACTAATATTAATGTGTTCAAATAAATAAATAAAACTAATAAATTATCACGAATTCAATGTAATGGTAGTTAATCAGTCATGTCTCCAGTTAGCTCTACGTTGACAGGTTTGTTAAACGTGTTAAAACGTGAAACTTAAACAATGGATAACCAACCATCAATATTAAAGTTAAGCTTAGATTAGGTAGATATCTTTCGTTAGACTGAACCTGATGTATTTATATTCAATTATGTTATTAACAATCAAGTTATCTTAGTTTTTTTTAGTGTAGTTAAGGTATAAAGACTTGTCCATATGAGATTCTTTAAAGATGGTTCATTATCATTGATTGTATTGAATAAAATAGTATTATGTACTGTAAAACATGAATTACAACTTTACTATAAACGAAATATTGATCTAAAGGTAAAACCATATAGTGTACACAATTTCTCTGTATAAAATGTATATAATGGTAAAAATGAAAACGATTTAATCTCTGGTACAAAATAAGATGTAATACTCTAGTTAACAGACTGGGTATTCAATGAGGTTATTTATTTGAACACATAAACATTGGTACAAACGGGTGTCGAATACATATGCGCCACATAAGTCACTTGATTTGTGTGTGGGTTGTGATACTGTTCGGGTGCACAAACCAAAGTAGGTGGTTTTCCTAGGGGGCCACTACCCGAGCCTTCAACTTAAAGGTCTGAACCACAAGACAGTGGAGCAACGTCAGTAGATGCAGTCCCGTGTTAGCAGGTGACCAATAATTGGTTCATGCATCATTTGTTCCTTCTGGATCCCGTGTACATCATTGATTTGGGACGAGAGTTTTCCAACTTCTCTAGGTGGATTCTCCGTATCTACCAACTCGGTTAAAGTACTTACTTACGCCTGTTACTCCCAATGGAGAAAAGGCCGCCGACCAGCATTCTCCAACCCACTCTGTCCTGGGCCTTCTTTTCTGGTTCCATCCAATTCTTGTTCATTTTTCTCATGTCTATCTCCATTTCCCGGCGTAATGTGTTCTTCGGTCGTCCTCTTCTCCTTTGACCTTGAGGATTCCATGTGAGAGCTTGTCTTGCGACGCAGTTGGGTGCTTTCCTCAATGTGTGTCCTATCCACTTCCAGCGCTTCTTCCTCCATTGGGATCTGGTTTGTTCTCTCTCCCACAGTAGGTTGTTGGTGATAGTGTCTGGTAAACGTATCCGAAGTATTTTCGTAGACAACTGTTAATAAACACCTCTGTCTTCTGGATGATCGCTTTCGTAGTTCTCTAAGTTTCCGCCCCATACATTAGAACTGTCTTGATGTTTGTATTGAAAATCCTGACCTTGTTGTTAGTTGACAGTTGCTTTGAGTTCCAGATGTTCCTCAGTTGTAAATATGTTGCTCTTGCTTTTCCGATTTGCGCCTTCACATCTGATTCAGAGCCACCGTGTTCATCAATGATGCTGCCCAAATATTTAAAGGTTTTTACATCTTCCAAATCTCCGTCAAGTGTGATTGGTTTGGCGCATGCTGTGTTGTATCGGAGAATCTTGCTTTTCTCTTTGTGTATATTGAAACCTACTGCTGCTACACTGGTCGTCTTCTCCGGTTATCAGTCAAATAGTAGTTTTATTAACACGAATTACGAGCAGTTGATACAGAGATATCTGAAGCTGACAGAGTAGTCACCAACCCGGCATCGACTTATTTTTTAGAATAATTAATGCAAGCGTTACGAAAAAGTCTATAACTAAAGTAGGTTTCCTGCTATCGGGTATTGTAATTGAAAATTACTGATAGAGAAAGCGTTGACCACTTGACTGATCTTGCATGTCTCACCAGTCATGGTGGGTTGGTGATTTGATGAAACTTTGGCTTGAGTTGTTTTTTGCCAAATTTTATGTCACTTGTAGTGTAGGCGAGATGTTCATCTGGCAATCGAGGGCAGAGTATACTGTGCAACACTAAGCTCAGTCTTACTTTTTGGTTACGAAACAGTGTTTGATATTAAGAGGCCATTCGTTTATTACTAGTACGTCATGTAATTTTGAGAATAGACTCAAAATATCAGATAAAAATGGTATGTTGATTGATAAAAATGTGAATCTTACATTGTGTATATCCAATCACCATCTACTTAGACGCTCATTGTTAACTGGTGTAAAAGTGGGTTGAAATAGAGCTAAACCAAAACAAACAAAAAAAAACATGACATCAGTTCATATAAGTCACCAACTATCCGGATGACGATTGTAGTTAGGTGCATACTATCTAGTTTAGAACTTTACATTAATCATAATCAGTAGCTAGAGATCAATCACAACTGTATAGAATACAGTCACTCTTTGTTTATAACATAACATACATTCCATTCTTAATTTTTTTTTCTTTTGTTTACTCTCATAGATGAATTGGTCACTGAGAAAGAGAAATACAAAGCACTCAGTGAAGAATTGGATTCAACCTTTGCAGAACTTACTGGAAACTAATTATCACATGACTTCTATCCTGTCTCCCCCCTCTCGCTCTCTTTTTTCTCTTTATATTCTATAAACTGTTACTAAGTGTTTTTTTTCGATCCTTACCCAACTGGCACTTTAATTCATTCAATATATTCTGCTTATATGATATACAATTAATTTGTATCTTATTAATGTTTTATCATAAACCAAAAAAACCAATGATCAATTAGTCTTTGATTATCATTTCTCGAATTCATTTTCTCCCCCCTCCCCCCCCAAAAAAATATTGATTCTATTCCATATATCTATGTGGGATATTTTATTGGATCAAAAAACTGAGATCAATCAACTTTGTCAAATTCGTTTCATTCATTTTACTTATGTTACAATGATCCAAATGATGGTAACATTTAATTATGATGTGATGATTTTTCTTTTCTTTGAATGAATCAAACCTATTCCTAGATTTCCTTATGTTTAGAACCTTAAATTTTGATGGCAATTACACATAATTATGCAAATAAATATACATATACAATATACATTTTCAACTTAACTAGTATTCTTTCTTAGTTCTTTCATCGTCCCCAAATACCATGGTATAGTTGAAGGTGAAAACAGTTTACTCCCCTCCTCCACCTCCTCCTCTTCGAATGCTCTCATATGAGGTCACGCATATATTGTGATTCATATTCACCTCTTAGTAAGGGTGTTGTTTACTAAATTTAAAGGACTAAAGAAGAATAACCGGTTGGAGTTTAAATTGGGTTGTGGGACATGGAGGACTCAATTAGAGAAGTCTGGAAACCCTGATTCCAGTCGATAGTCAATATGGGTCGTTGGCTAACATAGGAACGCATCTCTTGACGATGCTTTAGGGCCTTGTGGATAAGACCTCTGAACCAAAGGTTGGGGTAATGATTACGTAAGAGAACTACCTGCTTCGATTTGGGCACCCGGGGAATATTTCATCCCACACACAAATTTTATTTATTTAAACACGAATATTGGTACAAAGGAGAACTGAATACATATGTGTCACGCAGGACATTTTATTTGCGTGTGGACTATGATACAACCCGGGTGCTCAGACCAAAATAAGTGGTTTCCGTAGGAGGCCACCACCAGACCCTTTGACCTAAAAACCTAATCCACAAGGAAATGGAGCAACGTCAGTAGCTGCAGTCATATGGTAGCTAGCTGGTGACCAATAATTGGTTGATACACCAATTGTTCCTTCATGATCCTGTAGGCCATGTGCACCATTGATTTGGAATGAGGGTTTTCCAACTCCCCTGAGTGGATCCTTTATGTCCACCAACTCGGTTAAAGTACCTGCCGGATATTCACTTTTCTTCCTCTCAATTTCGTGAACAACATTCCCACCACAGGAAGGCAGTGGGTGGGGCTTCCCTGGCAGTGGTTGTATGCACGTGGCCATGTGATAGCATTTGGAAAGGAAGAGCTGACTATCGGTCGTAGCAGGGCATTTAGGGACTCAAATTTAGTGATAACTGGTGCGGTTCATATATTCTTCAATACCCCTTTGTACCAATGTTTAGACAAATAAACAATAAATGAATTTTATTGGATCAGTACGTTAACAATGGACTATTCTTCATTTAGGAGAAAAATGTAATTAGTAGTGACCTTCTGTTCCATACTTGACCGTAATGACGATTTAGACTCGTACAATGATTAGTGAATGGTGTCATATTCGCTTAATCCTAAATTGTTGATCTCGGTTATTACTCAAAGATCAATCAATTTCAAAGAAAATCAATCGCATCTAGAGTAGCTCAATAGTAATACCCTAGATTGATACGTTTGTTCAAATTCCATGTCTAAGGTTTCCTGTCGATTATTCCCGACCACATAGCATTCAACCTTTTGTTCAACTTCACAAAAGTCTATAATTTCTTAAAGATTCAAATTTATATGACTCAACAC